GTCTTTTGAAAATTTGAAGTTTCTATTGCTGAAGTCTCTTGAGGTCTTTGAAGTCTTTTGCAGCCTCTTTAAGAGTTGAAGTTTTGAAGCTCGCCGCTTCCCTATCGATTTGCTGTTACTGATTCCAATACTAGGATTCCAAACAACTATCAGTAGCTAAGTGACAGTAATCATCGCAACATTCTATTGGTCCAATATAAGGACATTTCGTTCACTTTGGCTTCGTTCCCAATTGGTCCAATACAAGAACATTTCGTTCACTTTGACTTCTTTTCCAATTGGTTCGTTAATGATTGGTCCGTTAATGAAAGCTAATTTACAAGGGCATTTTTAGCACAGTATATATACTCGTGTCAGGATAGCAGCTGACACCAAATCATTTTACTTTCTTGCATTTAAAATGAACACAACCGACAACAATCAACCAAAATGTGCTGGCTATCCACCATACCTCATGTGCGATCGAAAGCCAGCCGGGCCGCGTTCTAAACGGTGTAAATCCTGTAGTGCGGCAATAACAAAGGCAAAAAAAGAAAGTCGAGTGAGTAAACCTCGAATTTATTTATACTGATGACTATCTCCATCTTTCTAGCCTCCATGCGAAGGATGCGACGACTATCCTGACTGTTCAAATATTCCAAAAGAAGGCAGAAAACGTTGTCGACGATGTCAAACGGCCAATGCAAAAGACCAGGCAGCACGTGGAGAGAGGCAGTTACCTTTAACGAAGGCTAGACGAGTAAGTTTCTGGTTCTTTCTTTTCTCTTGCTAAAACTTCCTTTTGATGTATTCTTTAGGGTGATGCAAAAGGTGACGAGTTTTGCTTCACGTCTGGCTGCATGAATCTTCGTCCGAAAACGGATAAGAATGGCAAGACGTACTTACGTTCTTATTGCAATCCTTGTCGGAAGATTCGGGAGAATACGGAGAAGACTCAAGAACGCCAACGTCTCTACACTAAACAATATTACCACCACGTCGTCAAAACCGATCCAGAAAGGATTGAAAAGAAACGACAAGAAGGACTAGCCTATTACTATCAAGTTACGAAGAAACAACAACAAAAATGGGAAGAAATGAACGCTGCTACGCCTGGTCTGAAGCATGTCCCACGGTCAACATCGAAATTTGCCTTAAGTGTGTGTACAGGGAGGTGTTCAATGCTCTTGCCAATTACAACATCAAGTTCAAGGCAGAGTTCAACTACCTGACACACCATTTCTACCAAAAGGCTCCCAACTCTTCAGAGTCGGGTATTCGAGCAGATCTTCTCGTGGAGATCGATATGGACAGCCAGGAGAAGCCGTTGACAATCGTTATCGAAGTCCAAGGTAAGCAATACTACTTATCTAAAAATCTTAAAAGGACAATTTTCGATGCATGTGTGTTTCTTTCTCTTCATAGGTGGTCAACATCGTCCTCTTCTATCACAACATCTGGACACCGTTAAGAAGATGCTCAATGCACTTTATGCTGATCTAGTTGATTCGGATCGGGCTGTACTCCTCGACATCGTCAAAGGGAACAATGCGATCCAGCTTCAACAAGATCTAGCAAAGGTGTTGATGAGCATCAAACAAGGCTTTGTTCACATCATCGTGTACGGTGCACGTTCAGTGAAGAAGGCCATCGCTGATGCTCTTGAGGGCACGGAGAACATGCGGGTGTATTATCCCAGCGAAAATGGTGTTGACAAGGATGCTATCATTAAGCAATTCGTTGATCAACTTCTTTTTCGTGAAGGATCTTGCCGCTCGTCTGCTGGTCCGTGTGCTCCTCTCGAGCTTAGCAGAGCCTTCTCTCTGATGTGCAAGGACAAGATGATGGAGGAGCTTGATGGCGGTGATCCAGATGATGAAGAAGATGAAAAGATGGACACTAATCGTGAGTTATAGATTTAAAGAAGCTTTCATGACATTGCTCAATTTACTTTCAGAAGTCGTTGGTGATCAAGACGATGATCGCGCCAACATTCTCATGTGGCTTGAGGGAATTGATCCAAAGTTTCTTGATTTCAACCCCGTCAAAAATCTGAAGATCGATTTTACTCAAGGATATGCTGGCTCAATCGACGCACACCAGTCGACATAATTCTGTTATCCATAGACTTATTTTTATTTTTGTTATTGTTGTCCTGTTGTTGTGTTTTTTACTATTTATTAGTTTTATTCTTTCGTTCTTTTCTTCTTTTTTTTGTCAATAAATTAACATTCATTAGTGTAATTCAAATAGATAAACTTTAGTGAACATTAACTGAGCTTGAACAAGAGAAAAAGAGTTCTCAAGTGAAAGATTTAGACACTCGAATCCTAACGAAAACAATCGGATCAGATATTTTTTTTAACAACTTATTGTCTCGTAAAAGTTCAATCGATTGAAAGTCTGGTATCATCTAAGTAACGATTAGCTTTTCTAGTGTGTCGAACAGTTTTCTTTACCGTTAAATAAATTTTCAATAAAGTCATGTATCTGAAAAGAAAAAAGCTTAAGTCATAATTTTTTTCGAATAAATAAAAGGTTATAGAAAATAATATAGTATCAGATGAATAACGAATAACAATGATAAATGCAAATATCGTATAGGACTGAAGCCTATCGAATTAGCATAACATCGAGCAGAAACTTAGCGGATCGCAATGTAGCGGTTGCTCTCATGTGTAGGTTACTGTGTTACTGAAGAAAGCCGTTTACAATCGATTCTAGCCATTAGTGTTGTTTCGACTAATAAAGGATCGTTGCAATCACAATCTCATTTCGATTATGACAAAGCAACAACACGGTAGCTTCATTCATATGCCCACTTTGAGGGTGTGGGTGTGGATGTGGGGATAGACTTCTCTCTTCTAAAACCCCCACACTCACACCCACCCATCCATCCACACCCACATTTATTAGGTTTCTCGAAGATGAGTATGTGATACTTCTGTGTATATAGCGAAAAAAAAGAGTCATCAACCTATCAACTGATTGCTAAACTCAAAATCATAGATTTTCTTATGCAACCTTTTCAGACAGATCTAACCTTTCTCTTCGAACGACGATTCAAACCTAAAACTAATCTTCACTGAAACATTTATGACAAAGATTTAGCTCAAGTAACGCAGTTATGATTACCCTTTCTAATAGATGAAATATACTTTGACTAAAGAAATAAAACATTATAGATGAATAGAAAAAAAAAAGAAAACTAATAGTTCTTGAAACAAGACTGTTTTACTTATTTTGATAAGAACAATTGCTGCTTCACTTAAATACTTCTGTACAGTTTTTTCGTTAATTCAGACTTGCTTCTCTTGCAATTGGTTAGCAATATCTCTATTCAAGAGAAAAGTCTATAGTTCGTTTGAGTGAAACAATCTATTGTTTGCTAGATAACACTATAGACTATGTAGTGGTAAGGTATTACTAACAGATCATGGAAATCAATTTATGGAATAGATTTATACAGAAAAATAACATGTTTAGTATCTATTAAGCATTTTAATCACAAAGTACAGAAGTACTGTTTTCGATATGTGTGTTTAATGAAAATTATTCAATGTTTTCTTTTTCTTATATATTGATATCAACATCTTCATCTTCATCTTCTTTTTTTTGTCGACTTCTTCATAATTCTTTGTATTCGTAATATGACGTATAGATTCTTTTAATAAAGAATCATCGTTAACTCACTGATTCAACATTTATCAGTAAGTATATTTCTTTTTTCTAATTATTTCCTTTGATAGTCGTTATGCTCAACCTCATCGCTAATGAACATTTATTTTCCAAACTAATGTTCATCAACATAAGACAAATCTTGTAAATACGTCAAATGAGTTACTACTTTTAGTTATTCATAGCTAGAATACGTTTTTTGAAGTAAGCCTTTCTACTATTATATAAAAGAGTAACTTTATAATTAGACCGCCATTGTTTGAAAATTTCTTGAGACATTAAGCTTTTCTTTCCTTCATATTAAGAATATAAAATCTCAAAAATTCATGCAACTTCGAAGGGAGACTTTACTACTTGACTTAGTTTCATTAATGTACTCATTCTCTCTTCAAACAGGATCTAAAAAGAGTGCTGAAATATATGGATGAAAATTTGGACCTTCCTCTCTCTTAAGGGCCGTAACAGATGTTATTGATATACGATCAAAGATCTAATAATAATAATAACGTCAATTGCATTTCTAGTAGACTAAGTAAAAGAATGGTGAAGGAAAATATTTCAAATTATATAGAGTAAAGAAATTTTTCTTTGATTAGCAATAGCAGTTAAATTATATTTCACATTCAAATTTTATAGAAACTGTGCTAACAGCTATTCTCTACCTATTATAATCTACATTTTCTTCATAGATTTTGAAATATTGTTCGAAGTTGAAATATGTGTTCTGAACATAAAATATATTTTTACAAGATTTAAAAGTAGATGTAATCAACAAAAAAGAAGAAAATTAGCATGTTTGTAGAAAAATTTCTACATAGTCTGTACCATAACATGCAACAGCGATGTCTAACCAACCATCATAGTTAAAATCTCCAATACTAACAGATACAGGTCGAGCATTATAATTTACAGAATATGACAATGGATTTCCAAAAACTCCATTGTCTAAACCATAAAAAACAACTATATTATTGGTACCGAGATTAGCAACAACAAGATCTAATCGATTATCTTTATCTAAATCAGCAACTGCTATTGAGCATGGAGATGAACCAATTCCAGTCGAATAATATATTATTTCGGCAAACGTTCCGTTACCATAACCAAAGAAAATACCAATATTACTCGTAAAAAAATTGGCAACAATAATATCTAATTGATGATCATTATTGAAATCATTTACAACAATCCAAACTGGATTAGAAGAATCACCAGTTGAGTATGTTGTTTGCTCGTCAAATGACCCATTACCATGTCCGAGAAGTATACCAATATTATGCGTACCAGCATTGGCAACTGCAATATCTAATCGATCATCATTATTGAAATCTCCAACGGCAACTGAAGTAGGAGAAGAATCATTGCCAATTGAAATAGTTATTTGTGTTGCAAAAGGTGTAATTTTATCTCGAAGCATGATTATTATAGTGGCAGTATTAGGGATAATGATAGCCAAATCTACTCTATTGTCATTGTTAAAATCATATATGACAAAACATGTCGGATATGAATTAACACCAGTTGAATAGGTCTTTAGCATAGCGAACTTTCCATATCCATATCCATAAAGTACACTAATATTACCATCACCCTTGCCCAAATCAGACACAACTATATCGAGTATTGTGTCATTGTTCAAATCAGCAATAGCAATCATAGTCAAAATAGATTCAAAGCCTATCGGTATTGTTGTTTGAGATGAAAAAGTACCGTTACCATGACCAAAAAATATGCCAATATTCTTAGTATCTTGATTAGTGACAGCAATATCTATTGAACCGTCATTATTCAAATCACCAGCAGCAATTGAATATGGACTAGAATAATATCCTGTTGAATATTTTGTTGCATTTCTAAAAAGACCATTACCATATCCTAAAAGTATCTCAATTTCGTCGTTGTATTGGCTAGCAATAGCTAAGTCTGGTATATGATCGTTATTGAAATCATCAACGATAATCCAGACTACTGATGAATTAGTTGATGTCCAATATGATATTTTTTCTGTAAACGTTCCATTCCCATGTCCTATAAATACCCTAATATATTCGTTTCCTTTGTTGGCAACAACGATATCGAGATTACCATCTTGATTGAAATCACCAACAGCAATACAACCTGGAGATGACGAACCCGTCGAATATAAATTTTGTTCAGCAAATTTTCCATTGCCATATCCAAGAAAAACGCTGAAACTGAAACCATCTGCATTAGCTACAGCAATATCGAGTTGTTTGTCGTTGTTGAAATCACCAACGACCATAACCGTTGGAACGGAACTGGTTGAATATGATGCCATATAAATAAAGCTGCCATTTCCAGTTCCTAATAGTATATCAATAAGGTCAATCTCTGAATAAGAGACTGCAATATCTAATTGATTATCATTATCAAAATCAGCTGCAACAATATAAAAGGGAACAACAGTGAGTGCATTTAAAAGAATGCTATCACTTGTAAACGTTGGATAATCAAATCCAAGAAATATTCCTATACTGTCTGTACCATCATTAGCAACAACCATATCCATCCAACCATCCTTTTGAAAATCACCAACAGTAACCGAACTTGGAAGAGATTTCAAGCCAGTTGAATGTACTGTTGGTTCATCAAATGTTCCATTGTCAATACCAAAAAATATATTTATATTATCCATCCAATAATTGGCCACAACAATATCAAGGTGATTATCGTTATTAATATTGGCGGTAGTTATATATTGTGGACGTGAACCAAAACCAGTTGGATAGACAAATTTGTTCATAAAAGTTTCTTTTTCATAATCAAGAAATATTTGTACATTATCGATTCCTGCATTAGTAACAGCAATGTCTGTTCGATTATTCTTATTGAAATCACCGATAACAAGTGAAAATGGATGCGGACGAGAGCCAGTTAAAATTGAAGTTTTCTTTGTGAAATCTGGATTAAAAGATATAAGAAATACATGAATATCATTAGTACCAGTATTGCTGACTGCAATATCCAACTGATTATCGTTATTAAAATCTCCTAGGACGATCGAAGATGAAAGAGACCCAAATCCAGTCGAAAACATATCTTGTGCTCCAAATGTCCCATTACCATAACCAGGAATGATACCAATACTAAAATACCACTGATTGACAACAACAATATCTAGGAAAGTATCATTATTTAAGTCGGCAAGAGCAACAGACCATGGACAGGAACCAGCACCAGTCGAATACATAGTTATATTTCCAAATGCCCCGTTTTCATATCCACAAAGTATATCTATACTTGCAGAATAAGGATCAGCAAAGATAAGATCAAGTTGTCCATCATTGTTCAAATCTCCAATAGCAATATTACGTGGATAATGAAAACCAGTTGAAATAATCATTAAAATATGAAAAGATCCATTGCCATACCCAAGATGTATACTAATTGTAGCACGTCGATAATGTGAAACTGCAAAATCTAGAAAACCATCCTGATTGAAATCTCCTACAGCAACAGAGTTCATATATGGATCACTTTCAGGTGCATCTGTTTTTATAATTGTAAAATTACCGTTTCCATCTCCAAGAAAGATACCTGCTTTATTATTATCATAAATAGCAGTAACTATATCAAGATTATTGTCTTTATTGAAGTCACCAACAGCAACTAAGAATGGATAAGAACTTTCTATTGGATAGCTTTTTGTATATTTAAAAGACCTATTGCCATTTCCTAAATAAATACGAATTGAATTTATACCAGATATACCAACCACAATATCAAGATTGCTATCGTTATTAAAATCACCCACAACAACCGATTGAGGTCGAGACTTTTTTCCAATAAAATATATTCTTTGACTTTCAAAAGATCCATCATCAAGTCCAAAAAATATACCAATACTACTGCTATTAATATTGGCAACAGCAATATCCAATTGATTATCATGATTGAAATCACCAACTGCAATAGAATCTGGTCTAGAATCAGCGCCAGTTGAATATGTCCATCGAGTTGCATCAGGATGAACGGCATATGAACTCAAAATAAGAATATTATTAGTGAGAAAATTAAGAACGGCGACATCTGGACGATTGTCATTGTCGAAATCACCAGTGACAATCGAATTTGGAGTAGAAGAGGGTCCCGTTTCATGTGTTGCTGCCAGAGAAAAATTTCCGTCTCCATATCCTCTAAGCAAATATATATTGTTATAATTTGTATTGACAACGACCAAGTCTAAATTTCTGTCGTTATCAAAATCACTAGCAACAATAAACTGTGGACTCGAATCAGGACCAGCCGAACCTGTAATCATATTTCTAAAACTTCCATTTCGATATCCTAGAAATAAACCTAGGCTTTTTGTGCCGTTATTGGCGACAATAATATCTAAGATATTGTCGTTGTCGAAATCACCAAACACGAGTGAGGACGGGTTAGAACCACTACCTGTCGAATATTTATGTTTTACAAACGTTCCTAATCCACTTCCTAAAAGTATAGTTAATGTATTAACACCACTATCAACAACAGCAATATCGATTTGTTTATCATTGTTGAAATCAGCAGCTACAAGTGAACAAGGATTAGAATCAAATCCCATATCAATGGTCGATTCAAGATAAAACGATCCATTGTTCAAGCCTAATAATATCGCTATATTTGAAGTACCAGAATTAGCTACAGCGATATCTTGATGATGGTCATTATTAAAATCTCCAATGACCAATGATAAAGGCTGAGAAGAACCAAGTGAAAACGTTGTTTGATTAGTAAAGTTTCCACCACCCGAGCCAAGAAATACGCCTATACTATTAGTACCATAATGGGCAACAGCAATATCCAATAAAGTATCATTATTGAAGTCAGTAACAGCGACCCAATATGGAGCAGATCCTGGACCAGTGCCATATTCAATTTGATTTCTAAATGTCCCATTTCCATAACCGAAAAAAACACCAATGCTATGAATTCCGTGAAAAGCAACTGCAAGATCTTGATGATTGTCATTATTAAAATCACCTACAGCAGCGTGTAACGGAAGTGAATCGTAACCAATTGCATATTTAACTGTCGGTTTGAAAGTTAACTTGCATATTTTATCTAAACGAAAATAATATTTTCTTCTGGTTTGAATAATGTTCAATATACTTAAGTCAATGACGTGATTTAAAAAACAAATTATTCTAACTCTTTAAGATATTCGGTTATATACATGTTCTTTTGTACTTCGTCACGTCACTCACCAAAAGTAAATCGCTTTTCTTTTTTGAAAAATCTAGAAAAAGTCAGAATAAGAACTTTAGAAAGAGATTTTGTAGCTTCAAGAGTTGTCTACAGAACGTTCTATTTAGTTTTCAAAATTTCTACCTTAATTCAGAGTTTTTTTTTGTAAATTGAAATATATGAAATGAAAGCCGACATCTTTTTGTTTTCTATCACACCGCTAATACTTTTTCTTTACTTATAACTCATCTAAGCAAAGGTCTCTAACGCTGATTAATTTCAAAATATATCCAGTGTTATTTAATATAAAAATTATTTCATATGAAAGTTAACTCTAGAAAAGCTCATAGTCTTCAAAGACACATGTTTTTATTTTGTGAAATCATGTCATTAAAGAATAATTTTGCCTCTATTTCAACAAGTATATGGATACTATGCCATTGTCATCAGCAGCTACTCTTATATAAATCTAATCTTAATTTGAAAAGTGAAATGATGATTACAATTTTTGGTTATCAATATATTACATATGACATAATTTTATTTAGAAAATGATTTGTATTTTAAGACCAAAATAGTATATACTTTTGTCTTTTGATGATGTAAAACAAACTATGAGTATACCAACAGCCATTACAATAATTGTGAATGTAGCAACTGCACAAACAGCTGTTGGAAATTTACGCCTCGGCCAAGATGAAGTTTTTCTATAGAAGACAATAAATAAATAATGATACATAAGATGAAAAAGAAACGATATACAATGGTCTTGGAACTACTGGATTCCTCATTATGTTGTGTAGAGTAGATTGCATATTCACGAGTTATTTTTCTAGTTGAGTATCAATAGAAGAATGTTGTTCAGCACACGACTATTCGACTGAAATTTCGATAATATTCATAGAATATATATATTTATGCATATAGAAACAATACTTGAATAATCTGTTGAAATACAGATTCTAAATAGTAATGTTTAAATAACTAGAGGGTAAATCAAAGATACTCAGTGTAAATTTCAAAAAATTAGAAGAAAATCAAGAAGAATTTGATCAAAATCATGAAATTCTATTGTAGTGTTTTCTCGAAGAAAAATGAAATTTCTGATCGTATTGCCATGAACGATTCGTTACGTATATGTGACGTGAAAACGATCGAACAGGCACCACAATTAGTGAAATTACATGCATTTTTCAGAAATCCTAGTCTGTTTAATTTTGATGATAATTTTTTACTTTTTAGTTTCCTATTAACAAGACCATAGTTTTATATCATTTCGATTATTATCTTTATAGTAATGGGGTAGATTCTTTTTTTTTATCAGAAACTCTATCCATTTTAATAAATCGTGAAATATCATTTCATTATTTTTATAATTTTATATGTAAAGCTAATCAATGAATTTAGGATAACTAATGAATTACGTCTGTGAACTATAATTATATAAAATTATTGAAAAAATTTGCGAGAAAACCACCTCAAATGACTCATCACTTTTAAGTTTCTATTTCTACAATGAGTGTCGAATCTTGAAATTGAAATAAGCTCAATCCATGGCATACTACTCTTTACTATACATTTCAAAATAAACGAAGGATAAATATTTTTTAAGTAGGTTTTCATAGAAACAAGATAGAGATCTGTGATTTTCACCGTTTAAAAAGAAGAGATAAAAATATGTCGACTAGTACAGATGATATATTTTTGGAAAGTTTTCTCAGAGTTTTCTGCCTATACTTTTCTAAAAATGTCAAGGCTTTACAATAGGTTTTGAAGATGTATTTTTCATCAATCATGAAAAAACTGTCGATAACAGGTAGCAAAAAAAAAATTATAAGTAATGATTGGTTAAATCTTACAATATTGAGATTTTTAGTTAGGCAAACTTTGAGAACACTTGTCAAAAAAAAATAGGATCTATATGACTCAATACAGTTTCATCGCATCTTTTAAACAGGGCAAACTGAAGATCTCTATGTGATTCTTATCAAAAATTATTTCGAAAATACTCATCCTTCTTTTATTTTTGAAATGGATAATCGATGTTCAAACTTCATCAACTATCTTTTTTTAAAAGTTATGAATCATCTCTTGTAGCTCCCTCTTTACTCTCTCTCATTCGATATCAAATGATCCAATGATGAGTCACATATGTCAACAGCATTTTTTTTTTATTTTCTAATATCACATTTATTTTGTCTGAAAATGTATCAAATAATTCAAAACAAAATATTTTTCATTGATTTTCTATTCAAGTTTTCTCTTTGAAAATTTTCTAATTTTATATATCAAATAAAAATATTAACATCTATTATACTTAACTTACCGTCACTAATGATAAGTTACCGTAAACCTTTCTATATGTACGTTTTTTTTATCAATAAACAATATTAAGATAGTAATGGCTTACTTTCCACTTCAATGATTTTTTTTTAATCACGTCATTGCTGTCACTCATCAAAAATATTCATAAAACTAATGAGCTTGTAAAATAATAAATCAAAATTTTATAGATTAGTTCTCTTCTAACTACTAATCACTTACTACAATTGTGCACACTTTTTCTCTAAACTGTTGTATGCCACCAAAAAACAAAAAATAAGTAAAAAAAGCTGCCGTCAAAGCAATGAAAATATACTGCAGTGTTTTTTTTTTTCTTTTTTTTTAATCATTAACCCATCTAAATCATTGTTTATTTTTCCTATTAGATAACGATTTTATCCTAAAATTCATAAATAAGTCACATGGAATAATGCCTCGACTATAGTATTGCATTTTTTTTTATTAGGCTTTGTTGAAGGAAGAATTAATGCCCGTAGGCCTTTTAAGACATCGTCCATAAGTTAACAATGTTACTAGTAGAAAATATGTAGGGAAAAACAAGGAGAACGAGAGAAGAACCATGGGAAATATAAAAAAGAGGATAAAATTAAGGTAAAAAGACGAAGGAAGGCAACACAAGGCCAATAGAAAGGAGTGGGGCAACAAACGGACAATACAGAGGAACATAAGTATGTAAACAAAAAAAAAAAGAAGAAAAAAAAACATAAGGAAGAGCAGAAAAAGAAAAACAAATATAACACACGCATAAAAGAACGAGAAAGACACGAATGAAGAACACTTGCTATCTAAAGGAATGTCTGAGGAAATTCAGAGAATATCTCAAGGTCATCTTTAGATATAAAAGGAATAGAATCGGTAGCGTTATTTTCTAACCATCTTAGACAATACTCAATGCTCGAAACGAATGGTACCAACCGTTTGGATCGATACACACAACTCACTACATATTCCTTGTCTAGCCACTGGTTTCTGAACGAATTTAACACTTGATGCTCAAACAACATGGATCCATCTACTGAACTGTTCAGATGTATACGATATTTCCTCCAGTATCTTGCACATAGGTTTTCTAAGGATTTTTCATCATATAGGGACGCAAAGAGGAAGTCGTTCCAGTTAGAAACTCCTAGAATTCGCTTTAAACAAGTGTAATAAAAGTGGTTAAGATCGTCCTTTTGACAATCAGTGAATAGGGGCAGGACATAGGCGGAGAACAGGATCCTACGAAATTCATGAGAAGAAGAACCATACATATGATATGACTTCACTATGGCTACTCTTTGTCTAATCTTACTTTTGTACAAGGAAATCATCTTGTTCCAACGAAGTTTGCACGATATGTGGTAACCGAGATATCTAAAACTCTTGACCCAAGCGATTTTATGATCACTTACTGTGATATTAAAACTAGGGTTGCCAACAGCGCGTGCTGACCATAGTAGATCAGTTTTTTCATAGTTTATCGGTTGTACAGATTGCGTGGCATAATACTCAAGGTACTCAAACAATTTCTTGAGTTTAGCCTCTAGGTCGAGACATCGCTGTGAGTACTTGATTCCCATCATACCTCCCTTTGCATTTTTTTTTTTTTTTTTTTTTGACATATCGTTTCGTATGTATAAAACATACAGGTAAAATATATAGATATCGATATAACCGAAAAATATGACTTAGTCACACTAGTACCTATATTGATGTTAAGAAAGAAACGCGTCAAAATGACCTTCGTAAATATCATATCGTCAAAATAGCATGAAGAGAAATAAAACAAATGTTTCTTTGTAACCATTGTGAATTATTCAATAGAGTTTTTCTTCAATATTTATATTATTTTTTCTTTTTGAAAGTCAATGACTACATTATGACATAAACATAAAGAGTATTCAAAATTTTTTCTTTTTTTTATGAAAGTTAAGACAAAAATATATCACTCTTACATAAAATCACCTCATAATTATTATAAAATATTTTTTTTTTTATCTGTGCATCTCCGATTAGATCGAATTATCATGCTATGCTGTACAATCTAACGAAAGTAAAACAATATAAGAAGACATAAAGAGTAGAAAGCAGCAAGTAAAGACATTGAAGTAGCCGAATACAGATGAAAAACAAAAAATTTAATATGAAAAGAAATGTATGTCGTTGGAATCACAAAATATAGTATATAATTGTAGTTTATAGAGTATTCAAGAATAAAATAAACAGCTAATTTCTTTTTTATTATTTTCTTTCACTAGTAATATAATATGTGATCGATAAACAATGCATAACTGTATAATTATATAGTTCTTCTTTTCTTTTGTATACATAATATATTCTTACTGAACAAAATAAAGTTATTATTCGAATAATATTATAAGAATCAAAAACATAGGTTCCAATTTGATATTATAAAAGAAAATAACAAAAGAAATTTTTCATATTATTGAATGTTACACAGTTGACACTAGTAATTGTGGCAACTCGATATATTCTTCAAAAAAAATTACAATAAAAATTAATGTATCGATTTTTTACTTCAATATTCATGATTTATTATCTACTTAACACTATCAAAAATTTAACATACTGCTAAAACATTATTCATCTTTTCTTTTGTAACACGAAATTTTACCCTAGTACTTATGCATTATCAAGATATCTTCTTTTTTTTTTTCATAAGAGATTTTCTTTTGACTCTGTACTTTGATTTTGTCCTTCATATTCTCTTGTCTCATAACCACTGTAATAAAACAACAAGGTAAGTATGCACACAAAAAGTAACTAACATGATGTAACTGATAAAGTTAGAAGATATTATGTTGATGTAAAAAAAAAAGCAAAATCATCATTCATATTCATCAATTTTTTTAAGACAGTATGATTTTTAATTTATTAAATAATTTTAGATGGCATCATCAAATATTTCTATGAAAAAACTACGAATGGGTATGATTGGTGGTGGTCCAGATGCATTCATTGGTGCTGTTCATCGTACAGCTGCATGTCTTGATGGTGAAATTGAATTAGTTTGTGGTGTTTTTAGTTCTGATCCTAAAAAATCACATGATATGGGTAAACAACTTGGTCTTCCAATGAATCGTGTTTATGATTCATATAAAGAAATGATAGAAAACGAACAAAAAACACAAGGTAAAATTTGCTGTTTTTAAATAGATTGAATAGATCATTAAAAACAAAAGAATTTCTATGTCATAATTATTTTAGAAATGGATTTCGTAGCAATTGTTACACCTAATCATGTTCATTATGAACCTGCTGTACTTGCACTTCGTGCTGGTTTTGATGTTGTACTTGATAAACCAATGTGTTTCTCACTTGATGAAGCTCGAGAACTTTCACGAATTGTTAATGAAACTGGTCGTACTCTATGTTTAACACATACTTATACAGGTTATCCTATGATTAAACAAGCACGTCAAATGATTGAACGTAATGATATAGGTTTAATTCGTAAAGTATATGTTGAATATCCACAAGGTTGGTTAAGTCATGCGAATGTTAATTCTAAACAAGCAAAATGGCGTCTTGATCCTAAACAAAGTGGTCCATCAGGATGTTTAGGTGATATTGGTGTACATGCTTTTAATTTAGCTGAATATATTACTGGACTTCAAGTTACTCATGTATGTGCAGATTTACAAACGATCATAGAAGGACGTCAACTTGATGATGATGCTAGTGTACTTTTACGTTTTAATAATGGAGCAAATGGTGTTTTGATGGCTTCACAGGTAAATTTTTTTGTTTATGAAATACTTTAATAAAGTTATTCTATGTATTTTAGGTTTGTTCAGGTGAAGAAAATAATTTAAAAATTCGTGTTTATGGTGAAGATGGTTCAATTGAATGGCAACATGCAAATTGTAATACACTTGTTGTTCGACGGTTAGATAGTCCAGCAGAAATTTATCGTACTGGTACAGAATATCTTTCAACAAGTGCAATTCATAATACACGAATACCAGCTGGTCATCCTGAAGGTTATATTGAAGCATTTGCTAATATTTATCGTAATTTTGGACGAACAATTCGTGCTAAAAAGAATGTTGAAACAAATCTATCTGAAGAATGGAAAGATTTTCCTAGTGTTAAAGAAGGAGTTCGTGGTATGGCTTTTATTGAAACTTGTGTAGCTAATAGTAAAAATGATAATGAAAAATGGACTGAATTAAAAGAATAAAATGAAATATTCAATGTCATAAGACTATAACTATTCTTTTTGAAATAAAAAAAAAACAAAAATAATTAACAACAAATCATCAGCATTTGTAATTTTTTTCTGCTTCGGACATATAATAATATATTCGAACTTTATGGTATTCATGCAGAAAATATGACCTATGGAGTATAACGTTTATAGATTACGATGCACATTTCATTATAACAACAGACTTAAGTATAATTTACATGCTTTTTACCTAGATCATCTAATCTTTATTGAAACTCGATCATGTCTCTCTCTCTCTCAAAACGAAATATCTCAACATAGAAAACAAATGTTTAACGATGTTAGACCTCTCATTCGACAGATCAGTATCCAATATCAGAGTAGATAGAAACCGTCGAAAAATAATTTAAATCTTTGATTAATTTTAACCACTTTTTGTTAAAAATTTCACTATCACATCGATGAAGAACAGATCTATGCTGAGACCGTCTCAAACAACGAATGCGTTCTCGCTAGTGTGATAACAGATTGAAGGGCTCAATTAAAAAGCTTGGTAGTGCACATAATTCTACACAATTTTCTTTGTTTGTTTCTCTATTCGATCCTAAAATTTCAATTAATATTGTTCACAATATGAAACATTGTTTTTTTTGAATGAACTTTTTGATACAACTAACAAATTTGAAATAATATCCTCTAGATAATTGTCACACAATCACTATAACTATATAATCCTACTAAAAATTGCCATGGAAAAGATGTTTGTTTTAAATCAACACGTAGAATATGTCTTTTGTCTGTTCGTTCATTATATAATTCAATTTGTTTTTGATTACAATCAAGCACAAGTTGTAGTGTATCACCCATTTGAAATTGATTATTAATAGATTGATCTTCTAGTTGATTATGACAACCATGTTGCCATATATTATTATCTCCACACCAACCAATCGTTGCTGGATCACTCCATAATCTTTGATCTAAATCTGCATTTGTTGTTGTGATACCAAAAAATAGTTGTTTAGAAGATCTAGCTCTTTCAATTTTAAATCGAATCATTGATCGACCTCGAGAATATTTTTGTTGACCACGAATTCTTCCATATACTTCATTGTCACCAACATGTGTACTATGCATCGCAGTTCGATCAAGTTGAACAGGACCAAATATTAGTCCAAATTTATCATCGACATGATTTGATAATTGTACATTGGAGTTTTTGTCTACAATATTCTTTACTTCGATTTGTATCAAATAAATAGGTGAGTGTTTATTATCTTTAACCAAATTATATGAAGATGACGAGTCTACTATATCAGTTTTTAATTCATTCAATTTGTTCTGCCATTGTTCTAAATCCATTTCTGAAAAATTATCAATCTTACGAGCAGAACGAAGATTTGTAGCAATATCATGACACATTTTTGATTGATGTTGTTTTGAATGATTGATTATTTGTTGAAAATCATTACGAACTTTTTCAGCTGTTTTTTGAATTTTTACAATTGATGATTTTTCCCAATCATTTATTTTTTGTAAAAGAATATGATTAGAAGATGATTGTGAAAGTTGTTGTTGAATTAAATCATGTTCTTGTACAATTATTTCAAGTTGATTGTTGAGTTCTTCTCGATGTTGACTTACATGTGGAGTACAAAACATATTTTGGCATCCAACACAAATAAATAAACCATTCGTATTTGCATAATCATCACATTTAACACAACGTTTTTTAGTATTTTTGTTAGTTGTCATCGTTTTGAAATTTGAGAGAAATCAAAAAAAAAAAACAAAAACACGTGTGTTGGAAAGAATAGCGTTTCGCTGTTGAAGATATTTTTTTTTGTTTGTTCTTGTTTTTATGAGAAAAGAACGAATAATAATATAATTGTTGCTATTCGAAAGGACGAAGAAAAGATTAAATTGAGAGGTAATCTATGTTACACGAAAATTTTCATGTTCGGACTAATGTAGCTTTATATGAAGTGTAATACTCTCGTCATCAATCAATGAATGATATATATGTAGATCTTTGAAATACTTTCAAGATATCTAAGTGGTCAACGTTCGATTACTTTTCAATATGCACTCAACTAGTCTATCACGAAGACATTATATGTAATGAAAACTATCAAAAAATCGACAAGAGAAATGATAATTTTCTTCACAGAACTAAAATTGGCACGTTGAATCCACCTAAAACATAGACATAAAATGAAAATATCTTCTCTAATCTAGATCCAATTTAAAACTTCCTCCTTATGTTTTATTTGTTATAATGAGTTCCTCTCCACTCAGAATGCAAGATATATTGTACATAAAATCTTCTTGACTACCAAGATTTTGTTTTTGGTCTTAGATATCATCCAAAATTTTAATATGACACCACTATCGCATGTTCGATAGTGCTACAATTTTGAGGTTTTTCTGGAAGTTGAATAAGGTTAATCCAATGAGATATAAAAAAAACGTTTCAACAGAAGAATTGTTATTAACTGTCGCTTTTCGGGATATGGGAAGGACTACATACAACACTTGAACAATTCTATAATGGATATTCCGACTTAGACTGTGACATATATTTCGATGAGTTATAGGAAAATTGTAATTTACAATAAATTGTTTCGCATTTATTGTTAAGATGTATTTCAGTGTGCATTTTCTGCGATAGATATACACAATAATCTACGATCCGATCTGTTTTTATTATTTTATTAACTAATGATATTTAATAGAATTTCAGTACAATTGTAATTATTATCAGTTATTTAGAATTGAATACGAGGTTTAAAAAAAGGAAGGAAATATATTATTAGAATTTTCGTCGCTCCCACAACTCTTCCAAATCTTTCACTGAAATAATACTTGCTCGATGAGCTAAAATAGGTGGTTGTTCAATATAAAGTTCGTTCAGATTTTTTGTTTCAATTAACATCATTTTCAATTCAGTCTCTTGTAATTGTGTCAGAAAACGTTTTCGTCGATAAATTAATATTGGATTATTCAATAAAAATACTGCCACATACCATTTATGTCTTGCTTTCGATAATCGTTTTTTATTTGTTGCATAAAGATGATCACGAAGAAGATGACTAACAAAATAAAGTAGAACAGGATGTCGATGAGTACATTCCACAAAAATAAATCCACAATATGCACTAAAACCTGCATCAATAGTTTCCAATTTTCGACCTAATGGTGAATAATCCAAACGACACATGTATAAAATTTCACTAGCAATACTTCTTAATATACGCATTATAGCAGCAACAAAACCCAAAAAAGCATCAAGAAAAAAATTAAAATATAGAAATATCATTAATGCTCGACGATTATTAATTGATAAAACTTCACCAGCACGTTGTAAAAATACATATTGACCCAAAATTTTATTTAAATACATTTTAAAAAACACAAGAAGTAAAGTAGGAATAATAATTTTCAAAATAGTCTCAAGAGTTTTCACACTTCCATAGATTATAAATGCATCAATTGAAATTAATATAATGAAAAGAAAAATTGCTAGAAATATATATCCTACTATAACATAACCAATTAAATAACCAGCAAAATGAAATGTTCCAGTAATATAATTAATATTTTCTGAAGATATACGTCGTGGAATTTCACAATCATCACCACGATATGCTTGTAAAAGATTTCGACGAATACCAGCAAGCATAATTAATAATTGTATAAAAGTTATAAATAATGCAGCAATAAAAGCAATCAAATATGTTCGAACAAAATCAGGTAAAGGAAAATCAGACGATGGATTTTCATTTAGCTGTAAGTTAGGATCAGGTGAATTTATTAATTTTGAAAATAGATTAGCTAGTTCTTGACTATTTTTACGAATTGTGCCAAGTAATGGAGGGCCTTGTACACAAAACTATTCATGATAAAAGAAAAAATATAAGTTTATATTCATCAAGAAATATTTTCAACTGATCAATCACTTTTGAATGAATTTTCTTGAGTTTTAGTCTCTAGCTTGAATCAACAAATCAAATGATTATATTTCAATCTAAGACCTAATCCACAGGCAGATCGATATGTTAGTCGAATGTTTCCATGACGATATATTGAAATGTGTATAGGTCTGAGTAGAATGTCTAAGAAAACTTATCCTTTTGAAATTCCTTTAAGTTTCACTAGAATCTATCTAATACACAAGCGTCTGAATTCAAAATCGATTGATCAATTAAAAATATTTCCTCGTTAATCAAATATTTTACCTGAATAGTAAGAAAGTAAAGTAGTAGTAAAACTGATGTATAAACAGAAACAACACGAGATGAAAAACGAAAATCATCTCGCCATGTATAAATAAATTGAAAAATTTGAGGAAAACGATTTGTTGAAATTTTTGTATTACTTATTCCAAATAACTTTTTAACATATTGTGCTTCAACTGAATATGGTAATGATGAATATAAAAGTGTTTTTTGCTCACGTGTTAATTGTCTATCTCTTATATGTCTATGTCGAATTCGTTTAAAAAGTAATATTGGTAATTTAATACTAATATAAGCTAAACATAGATAACGAGGAATATCCGCTAAGAGTTGAAACAATAGTAAATTCGATTCTGTACCATAATATTGTAAATATATCATTGTTTTACTTATATTTGTTTTATTATAATCATCATTCGATGGATAATAATCATTATGACATAGACCAGTATAAACAATAGTAATACTAAAATCGAACCATACATATATAGTAGCACAAAGTAAAGTGAACCATGTATCAATATAGACAGCTGCTAAAGTTGGATAACATCGAAAACCAATAACAAGAACTCTTAGAATTTGAAGAAGATAAATTATTGCGACACCTATTAAAATAGAAAGAAAATGTTATGATTTATTGAAAGACAAAATTTGTAATAAAACATTCAATAAGAACTATAAATTAAATAGTCTAAAATATGATTTGAATAACAAACCTTTATTTGACGATGGATTGCCACCATTCAATACATCATTTGCAATATCTAATAATTCATCAGCAAAAATAGCAAATATTACTGCTGCCAATGTTCGTTTAACATGAGCGAAAAAATCTAATGGTATTGGAATACCAATATAACCTTTACAATATTTACTTCCTTGAAATGAAACACTCTTTGTTATTATAGCGAAAAGTAAAATAATGAAACAAGAAAGAGGAAAAGTGAAGATATTAAATTCAGAACTCAAATCAATGATTCGACAAATTGAATGTCGTTTGAAAAAAACTGGTTGTTTATTCTTAAATTTATAAATAATTTCTTCATGAATTGGTTTTAAAATAGCCCATTTTATAATAAGTGTAGATATAGCAAGTAAAATAGTAGCAATTAGAGTAATCCATGATAAAATTCGACGAGAAGAAGCAAGATTAATAGTCAAAATAGAAGGAAATTTTCGATTAATGATCGGAATATTTTGTCTACATGAATGAATAATAATAAAATAAAATAAAATAAAATTTCTAGAAATTACACTTGCTTCGATTCATTTTTTTGTAATTTGCGTCTTTTACTAATGGAACGGAAGGATGTTATGCCATGAAAAAGTACAATCAAGAAACTAAGCAAGATGCCCAAAGCAATAATTTGCCAGCCACCATTTGACACTGAAACATAAGATATAGTTAAGTTTTAATAATGATCATTATAAATTTAAGAAGCATTATCATCTATCTAAAAACATAATGCATGTAGCTATTTTTGAAATGACATAAGAATGTGCAAGAGATTAGTATACAGTGGTATTGAATATAACAAAAAGAAGATTCAATGATATAAAAACGTACTATCATTGCAAAAGTGAGCGTTTAATCACTCAAATTGATTCTTTATAGACATGTTGAAAACAATATTCTAGGACTATTTGACTTATAGAAAAGAAAAATTTTTTCTCATTCGATTTCAACAAGACTGATGTTACTAATAATTCTTTCTATTCACAAGTGGTAAGGATTTTCCTTGTATAATCAATTTAAGCTAATTCAGATTCGATTGCAATGAAAAACAACAATCACTTTTCAACTGAAAACTATTACCATTCGATCAGTCACGATGTATAACTGAAATGATCGAATTTTCAGCTAAGGTTTCAACCATAGATAGGGCTTACAATCAATAGGAAGATCTCAGAGTTTGAGCCAGAACGAACATATCCTTGCTAAGAGATTTACACTTTAATAAAACGCCTGTTTTTGGACTGTATTTTAAATGAATAGTGTTTCTATAATAAGTTGATATCTCAATTTGAATATATTTGTTCCAGATTAAAACTTAAGAGTTTTTATAGTAACTATAAAGCCTATCTGTAGTCCAAATATCAGTTGAAAACTCGATCACCCAAGCTACTCATCATGACCGATCGAATCAGAGGTGGAACGGGTCCGGACAGGACCGGATTTTTGCCCGTTCATCATCATACAATTGGTTTTTTCATCCAAGAATTTTCTCTACTGAAAACGGTTTTTATGATATTTTCAATTCAGAAGAATGAGTTTGCGAAAGACTCAATAGATATCTTGTCTTCTATTTGTCTATAAACGATTGATTGTTCTCTTTATATCTCTATCGATTTCGTTCTCGTGTAACGCTCAATTGATCAAATAATTTATTCTCTTGTTCTATTCAGGCAGCTGCCTGAATCAAGAAAAATAAATATTTATATTTTTGTGTTAGATTTTTGTTATAAACTTGTTTTTTTTTTTCATTTTTGAAATTAAGATGAAAAAACAGATTTGATCTGAATAACTAATTTATATCGATGTCAGGCTCGAAAAGTCGACGCACCTTGCTATAAAATATGAAAGGAGAGTTTCAGTCCTAAGTTTTAGTTTTCAGTTCGGCTTAGGGATGGCGATTTGCCTTTAATTTATTATAATTTTAAGTTGGATCTACATACATTTAAATTTTGTAAAATTTTAAATTCAAAATAAATAAAATTTTTTAAATTTTATTTTTGAGTTTATAAATTTTTCGTACATGTAAATTGATCAATTCCTAGTTCGGATTTTTGCATGTGAATATTCAATTCCTCTTCGTCCACATTTTATGTGAACAAATACTTTTATGGTCGTTTATTTTCGCCGGATTTTTACCAGTTTGGCTGTAAAATTCGTCCGGCCGGTTGCTGGCCGAATCGGACAGAAAAAACCTGCCCGGTTCCACCTCTGGATCGAATAGTAATGGTTTCAAGCGAAAAATAATTGAACAGTTGGGAAAGTTTTCTCGTTAGTCTCATTTGAGTAATGGTTCTAGAATATTGTTTTCACAATGTCCAACAACACCTAAGCTACTAAAACAAGTTTTTACCAATGAAATTTCACTAAATATTTATGCTCTTGACTCTTCTCTTTATAATCGTCACATATATTATATTTTTGAACAAAGGATGACTATGTTAACTGTTGTGTCCGAATATATCTCGCGTTTAGTTTTTCAAAAATAAATTACTAAATTCAACTCACTTTGATTGCACACTGTGCCCTTCCACCAAAATTTGCAAACACATGTCCATTCGCCATTCAAATTATTATGACAGTAACCGTTTCGTCCACATGGATTATATACAGAACAATCTTTAAATCATATATAAAAAGTAGCATTCAATATATCGTCTATCATTATAATACTAACTGTGTCTTAAAATCACTGGTACTGTAGTGACATTTACAAAAATCGATTGATTTTGTGTCGTCATAAGTGATATTTTCAAATGCACTATTCTTTTTATGTCATCGAAAAAACACCTATGCGATAATATGATCTGAGAGCTTTTGTTTTACGTGATATTTCAAACTGCTTCTTATATAACACAGTAAAAATATGATGTCGCTTGTGTTTTCTCTTTATACACAAAGCTAGAACGGGAGCGAATTGTTTTTTTTTTATTTTGGTTATGTCAGCATTAAAGACAAAAAAAAATCAAAACAAATATATTTTTCTCATGAGGATTAACATATTTGATCGAATTTTAAAAAAATTTTCTTCAAGTCCAAGCAAATAATATTAAAGTAAAAATACTGATAATTCAAAACAAATCATATGCTCTGCTTACAAATGCATTCAAAGATATCCCATTCTTTTTGGATATTTAAATAAATATTTTTTTCCACGTTTGGTATAGCTGCAAAATGTCATCTGAAAATTCGCAATGCAATTATTTTTTGTATGCCAAATTTCTCGGATCGAGCTGAAACGTTTTCTTATAGGTATTGAACATTACCTGAACCAGCTGCTTTCTTTTTGTTTTGAAAATGATTGCATCATTTAGTTTTGATAGATTTTACAGATAAAGGCATGAATTGTTTGAAAGTACGTTCAATATTTTGATCTTTTTACTTGGGCCGAAAAAGATAAAAAGAATAAGCATCTCAAACAGTGTTTTATTAGGAGTTTATTGACAACTTTGACTCTAATTATTAAGGTTCGGAAAAAAATGAAATATGAAATTCAGATATTTTATATTTTATAAATCAACCTTTGTAAAGAAATCAAATAGTAGTGATACGTAGTAATGTAGAAAAACGAAGAAAAACGTTTAGTTATTGTTCCAGAGTCTTTTTTTTTTAATAAATTCGATGGCTAATTATTTATTACAAAAGAAAAACAACATTTGCATTAGATTAGATTGTATTAAAGTAGTACTGTTCAAGATATTATTCATTTTTTTTTGCGATTAGAAGAGATTAAGAATGAATGTAATCAATTGGATTATAGTTTTATGTTTATCATGATTTAGATAATCAAATTCACAAAAAGATTTTTATTAATTCTATATAATCAATTCAATATTATCGAAACTTCAATATTAAATTTATCTAAAGAATATAAAATGTTAATTAAAAATAGTATATAAAGAAAATTATACTTTAGAAATATGAATTTTCAATATATCTAAAGAATAAATTATTTTCAAAACAATTCTATAGTATTTCCTTTCAAAAAATCGATAAACTAAATAAAATAGACAAGGTCAATAGTCAATTCTCATTGTCTTACTATTTTATCATAACACAATTAATAATGATATGGCAAAAATATGAAAAAAAAAATGTAACTATTATCTTGAAAAGAACAACAAGACTCATAACACAATATCATTTAGTCTTTCTTCTTTTCTTTCTTTCTCGTAACACAAAAAAAAGATAAGATAAATATAACAGTCTCTAGTCAACCTTGTATTCTATAAAATAACCATAGTCAAGTTGAAAATAGCTTTTCTTTGTGCAAATATACTGGTATCTTACATTTCGATTATAACAATGAATAATTATCGAAGATGTCCAAATGAAAAAAATCAATCATCATTGAATAATAAAAAAGAAATTTCTAGCAAAGCGAAACCACAAGTGTCCGCATTAGGTAAGTAAAATATATTGATGTAGAAACTAATCATTCAATATAGTTTTGTCTTATAGAACGTAATATGTCTGTTGAAAATAAAAAACTAAAAGAATTAATTGCTTATCAAAATTTTAATTCAGTAATGGATTTATCTAACCAAAATTTAACTGATCAAGATATGGGAATTATTATTCAACATGGTATTGTTGGAAAAAAATGTAAAAGTCTTAATTTATGGGGAAATAGATTTACACATGAAGGTATTTCAATTCTTGTTGGTATATTAGATGGAAATAAAACATTAAAAGAATTGGATCTTTCATATAATCGTATATCGGATAGAGGTGTTCAAATGATATGCACAGTTCTTTCATCAAATACTTGTGTACTTCAAGATATTGATCTTTCATCTAATGGTATTACGGACAAAGGTGCTATCTATTTAGCTAATATGCTTAAAAATAATCATACATTAACAACATTAGTATTAAATCACAATGAAATAACTAATGATGGGTTGAAATCATTAGTTGATGCACTTGCTCACGATAATAGAAAATTGATACAATTAAAACTTGACTTTAATCCATGGATAACAGGACGTGGTGTTGATTATATATTTCAGTCATTAAAAGATAATCAAATTTTAAAAGAAGTTTATGTAAAAAATTGTAGCGTTGAAGATCAAGATTTACCGATGTTACAAGAAAAGGCGATTACATTTGGACTTGATGTTTTTATATAATAAGATATCTTTAATGACTGGACTGATTATTTATTTATTTTTTATTACTTTTTTTTTTTTTTTATTGTGAAGTAAATTAAGAAATCATTCAGGAAAACGAATGATAATGTCTATTTTATTTTCTTCTTCATAAAATTTTCACCTTGATCTTATCTTATTTAGAGTAAACGGTACACCGACAATATAGTAGTATCTTTAATTCACATAAAAATATTTTATTCGGTCACATTAAAACTATTGACTGTTGCATATAATTAACCGAAAAATTTAACACTACCAATTCAGTCTATTTTTTTCCCATTTATATACTTAAGAGAAAGTTTGACTTAAGACGAGACTTTTTCAGTTGCTTTCTTTTAATTTCAAGGATATTTTTTCTCTCTCTATATATACTAGATAATGCTCTAATATAAACTCGAAAAGGATTATTTTCGAAAAAAATACATTTTCAAATTTAGATCTGAAGTATTGTGCTTATAGAGAATTCCATTAGACTGGATTTCATAAAAAATAATTCTCAAAGTACGCGAACAAAGCATTTTTGAATTTTTTCATCTATATTGTATAAAAAATGCATTTTTTTAAAAGTCTTATAAACGGATAAACGATGAACCTAGTTTGAGGATGTGCTTCACACCAAGTTCACATCAGAGGCTTAGACCATTGGTCATGTAGTAAAGCCCTCGATACATTAGAAGACCCCCTCCCCCTCCCCCTTGGACAAACGCAGCAAAAAATAGTTTAGAAGACCCCTCTTCCGTTCGAAAATTGATGTTTTTAATGGTTTCTAAAGCTGTTTAAGGTTTTTAGCATTTATGTATATGTTAATATTTAGGTTTTTCTTTAGTATGGACAGCTCATGAGAAAAAGCTAACAGGCAAGAGTAGTTAATAAAAGAAATGTTTTTTGTATAAAAAAAGCGTGTTCTGAGATCACTTTAATGCTCTTTTGCAGCATACTATGAAGAAGCTTGTTAAATTTTCTGTGCGAAAATATTCATTCCAACCGTCATAGGACCTAATTCACGTAGTACGCATCCAAACGTGTCACACATGAACAGATCTTTCTGAAACAAGAACATCACCGGTAAAAACTCGCTGTCCATTAGCTAATACTTTGCTTCGTCTGTGCCCTTTCTTCTAGAAATTTTGACACGTTCTCATCATGCAAGATCTCATTCATAATTGGAAAAAATATATTTCTAAGGACATGCAATGAGACGTATCTTATGAAATATCCTTTCTATGTCTGAGAACGTATCTCTTTTCGCATGAAAATACCAAGGTGCTTCTCGAAGCAGACACAAAAGATTCTAAAATCACTCTCAATGTGTATTCGGTCGTTTTTTTTTTTTTCTAGAAATTGTTTCTTCGTAGACAACCATATTCATTGAAATTAGCTAGAAACTAATAACTAAGCTGGTGGCATATTTCATCTTGAATCAATTCTATTTATACGAGCCAATCCTCAACAGAAGCAACTAACTGAAATAACTTTAACATCAAAAGGGTTAATTTTCTTTCTTTAAATTATTTATACCTCGGATAAAAGTCTTTTTTTTCCTTTGTTTCTATGCTATCATACTTTGCATCAAATTTATGATCAAATAAAGATATGACATAAGAGTTTTATTACAGTGTGATCTATACCATATTGAAATAAAACTCTTATGTCATATCTTTACTCGACAATAAATTTGATGCAAAGTATGATAGAATAAAAACAAAGAGGCAGAAAGATTTATGTCCGAGAGTGTAGTTATATAGAACATAAGTGCCATCAGTGATCGATCGTATTCTTTATAAAAAATAGTTCTATTATAGATTGCACAAAAATGTCAAGATATGTTGTCTATATTGTTTTAAAAACACTCTTCTAACCAACGATTGTTTTCTCTTTTTTTGCATTAAAATACTATTCGCTTCTTTTCCATTGATGAGCGCGGGATAAGTAAGACAAACTCGTTTACTAACAGTGTACTGAACAAAAAAGTGTTGAAATTAGGATCTTTCGTTGAGATCACCAAAAAAACTTGACTTTTTTTTTAGGGACATGATAGAAGACCCCCTTGTGACTTGTGAAGGATAAGACAGAATAGAAGACCCAGGATCTTCTAATGTGCCAAGAGCTTTATATTCTAAGAAAAGTCGAATAATCGGGTTTTTAATAAACATACACTTGTAGAGAATAATAACCAAGGAAAAGTGTTCAACGTGAATATGGGTATGACACTGAATAGAATACGCAACTACACCCACAACCGCAGGCGCATCATTATTATTAGCCTACTTCATAAAAACGTTGTAGAAACACAAGCTGATAAAATATATTATTTTGAAAAAAATGAACTTTAAAATGATTTTTTCGAGCAAAATCCTCTTCTCTAGACATAGGTTTTAATTTACGGACTATGAATTAAAAGAAAAAACCTATGAAATTATAACTGAATAATTTTCAGTTATAGATTAAAAAAAATTTGTTTTTTGTTCATTGTTCTTCCAATGGTACTATGTTCTTTTTGGAAAAGATAGTTAAAAACTAAGTTCAATAAGAAAAAAAAAACGATAATCAGCAAAGAATATGCCTTGATGAAAAAACATAAGAATCCTTTATTTGATTTCTCTCAAAATTTCTTGTATTTAAAATGCTTTTTGGAATTTCAATGATTTACAATGATGAAATTTTAGCAAGTTGAAACATACTAATAAGCATGCCTGAAAATCTGATTAATTGAAAAGATGCAAACTTGCTTTGTTTGAGTCACTAGTTTTCAAGGCTTAATCGAAGACAAAGCAACCTATTTATCAAATGCATAGTATTGATAATGTTGAATTTTTCAAGTGACTACTGAAAAGAAAAAAAAAATATCAGGATCAACAAATATTTTGGATTTATTTATCATCGCTTTATACTCATGATGTATAATATAGAGTGATTATTGCTATAGATCCTGAACAAAAGTAATTGGAAGTATGAAAAAAAAAACAAAATCATAGAAAATCGAAAAAGAAAAAACAATACTTTATTCTATTGATATTTGTTATTGAATTTTTACTAAATTCTCATTATGAATCTCTAATATCATGTCTATATTTTTCATTGATGCATCCTAAAGAAACATTTATATTTTTTATTGAAATAATTTATGTAAAACATACATTTCTTCATAGGTTCATATTTTTTTAAAATCATTTCCATCACCATCAAGATCACGTTGAAACTAAACAGAATGAATTATACACAAGTTTATCTTTTAAGAAAAATCTTTAGTTCAACACAAGAAATACATCAATATAATGCTGATGCTTTGTATTCTCATTATGAAAATGATAAGTAGACATGAACATAAAGTTTCTGATTGTGACATACAATACTATAAATTCTTTGTTAGGCAGTGTTCTATTGTCATCAATAAAATAAATACATCATGAACTGGATTATATTATTTTAAATGTCTAGTATTTGTTGAGGTTTAGAAACGTATGAGAAAGTTCTTTGTTTTCTTCGTACACCAATTTTTGGTGTCGCTTTAGGTGAACAATAATTGTTTTTGTAAACAGACATTCTATGATTTTCTGCTGAGATGTTGTATATTCATATCGGACGTTTCTTGGCACTACCGCCGATGTACCGGCGGTAGCACTTACGACTGTAAGTTTCAGCTATAAATGATTGCAGTGTGTTTTCTATTCAAATGGAAATTATTTATTAAGAATAATTGAAATTAAACGAAAAGAAAACAGTTTTAGAATGTATTTTACTAATCAAAATTTATTTCATAACTAGAGCTGATTCAAGCTCTGTGACTATTCTTCATTAAAAATCGCTACTGTTTGTTCTATGATTTTTCTTGGTATAAAATAGATTTGGTTTCTTTCGATATCTCAAGTAATGACATTCATCTGGACTCGTTGCACTGGGTTTTTCCCTACACTATGGGTGTCAGTCGCCAAAGAACTTTTCCCATGACTCTCATTAATTTTCTCTGTGAAATTTCCCTTTGTCATGTTCTGACACATATCAGAAAATGAGTCGTTTGTGTGTCATAGACAAGGAAATGTTATAGAATGCAAAAGTGTACAATTTTTCTTTCTTCCATTCATGTAACGTTTATCGATTATGTCTCGGTATATTTTCTTCATTGATATCTACGACTGAAAGAAGATTCAGAAAATGACAAGAGAAAAGACAAATGTAGCAGCGAACTTCTAATCGTAATGAGAAAATTAAAATCGACTCTTTGATCGAAAAAACGAGACAAACTATCTTTGAACAGATGTAAGCATAACGGAGCTCGTCAACTACAGATTCATGAATATAAAGAATCAATGAAATTTAGACACTAGTATAAAATCAGTGTTGAGTTTATACAATCTTGTTACTTCTGTTCTTCTTATTTCGCTGCTTTTTCTTTTCCTTCGAGAATGTTATTCATCTCGTGTGTTATTTCTTCCACGAGACGAGAAAACAATCCCATTACCCATTCCTGTACCATTTTTTCCTCTTCAAAATTATATGATATAATCTTGTGCAAGATGAATGCATTATAGACATAGTTGACTAATCGGTCTCACTGAAAATGTATATCAATTGATGTTCTATTAATATTTTATTGATTATGATTCGTCTTTATCAAATGAGGGTGTGACTGTGGGTATGGGTATGACTCATCTCTTTAACCACAGTTACATTGAGAAAAAAGCAATATCCATTAGATGTGCAAATCCTTGGATAAATGTGATCGATTGAAATGGTCCGGATGAATTGAACATCATTTAGTGTTGCCATATGAAACTGAATTCTATGATTGAGTTGAAGACAATTGTTCACGATGATTACGTAATGAATGTCATAGTAGATTTAAGATATGACTGAATCAAAATTACGGTTTTTTGAGGACTGTATTTACATGCATAATGAAGATGAAGAATATTAACAAGTATTATCATTGAACACTAGTTAAGAAGAACGGCTTTTCTTGTTTTGGTCACACAAAACTTCTCTGTACAATCATGTCCTTTTTTGTGATTTATTTTTCTATATGTTTTTCTGCGCGAACTATGCGCGATACTACTTTGAGGTACTTTATTTTTTGAAAGCAATGTACCAGAAAATACTCTGCTTCAGATTCCTATTAGATTATCTTTATAGGTTCTTAGAGCTTATTATTCTACTTGTTTTTACAGTACAATATTGATATTTAGGCGTGAAACATACCATTGAATAATACACTAAGTCTGATCTTCTACACCCACAATACAAATCAAGTCAACAATAAATCTGTCAATTTATATTCAAATGCTACATTTCTCTATTTTTTTCTTTACATTATCAGAACTTTTTCATCAATATCAAACATAACTGTCTCTTTTTCCCATGAAAAACAATATTGTCCATTAATCAATGATTTTGTATTCTTCACATCTTAAAATTCATATTTTGAGACTTTGTAGTCTTGACGAATAAACATGGATAGCTTCAATTGATTCCACCATCAGAAGGATCACTTCTCTTAACCGACATTAATTATTGCGAATTCTTCACAAGGACAACCTTTGTACATTTCTAGCATTTACGCTGAAGGTTTTTCTTTCCTGGGTTACTCACGTCAATATTTGGGCATCCAAGCTCGTTTGCAGATGTGTTTGAGCTGCATTTAATGTTTACAAAGATAATGTGAGGTATACTATTATGTTCATAAGTTTTTCATCGATTATTGTTCTCATTTTTTTTTGTACTATCGTATCTTGTCTATTCTGATTCTGTATTGTGTTTTGTTTGTACTTCGCATTTGATAGATGTATATCATTTCAATGGTTTATCTTTCTTCGCTGTTCTCTATCGTATTTTTAGTCTAACATGAGTCAGTATTTTGGGAAGATATCGAGTAAGGAAAGCATATTTATAAGAAAAACTAAATTATCTTATAGTGGTATATATATATATATATATATATACAACGACCGGCCTTTATACCGGAACACAAATCATGTGCAAGAAAAATCTTATATTGTATATTTTAGTCAAGAACAACATTCTGCAAACAGTGAAAGGTATGTTTCTAGTTCATTTTACTGAGTAAACTGTTCTGATATTTACTCAGGTAGAATAAATAGTCACTGCCCATGTAGAGAACTAGAAAAAAATTCGATTAAAACTACGAACAACTGATTATAATCTGTAAGACAATGGCTTGTACCTCGATACTGATTAAAATTGGTTACGTTTGATGCTAATCAATTCTTAATCAATTACAAGTCGATTAAAATTCACTTTAGTGATTGTAAGCCAACATACGCTGTTTTTATACTCTGATGAATACATCCTACAGAGTATAAAAGATGTTTCATAATAACTGACGATAAATTATTAATGATATTTTTTAGTCTTTTTTTGTTGACGAACACAGCGGAAATCTTTATCACATATATATCTAATTAAGATCTATTATTTCTGCAAATTTCAGTCGTCTAGCTATAACTAGTGGTGAAATATACTGAGCAGACTGAAATACATAAATTGTTCTACTCGGCTTTTACATTATTATCCCTGTCAAAATAAAATGCAAAAAAAAACGAGTACGAAAATGTATCTTGTTCAATCTTGTCGATGTATTTCACCATTAGTTACATCTAGAAAGCTGAAATTTTTAGAAATAAAAGATCTTGATAAGATATATACGTGATAAGAATTTCAACTCTCTACGTCAAGAAAAAGTATGAAAAATATTCATAACAAATTTATCGCCAGTTATTATGAAATACCCTTTATCAGGGAACTTCAACGATGCATGTCTTTAGTGTATGCTATTTTTCAAGCATGAAGCTCATCGATTTCCATTAATATAGTAATAAACTTTGACAATGCATCAAAATTACGAAGACTGGTATGAATTCTCTAGGAAATTTCAACAAAATCTTAGATACTAGTTATTTGACAATGAGGGTTGATTACGCTGTGAAACTCATTCCAGTTGATTTCTAGAAAATCGTAGACAATCGATTATAACCACTACTCATTTATTTTACTGGATTCCTATAAAGAGATCGATGATAATCGAAGAGAAATCATTGATTAACAATCAAATTGGCGACAAAATTGATTATAATTTTCAATTTAATACAAAAAAAAACGCAACTACTTGATTTTCATCAATGAATTGTATCTCAAATCGATGAAAGTCACGTACTATATATTGATTTTTCTGCTTAATCTTTTTTACATGGATGACAGTGGATCTTTACTATTATTAATTGGTTCAGAAATGAGAAACTTCGAAGATTTTTCCGCCTTTCATTGTAAACTGAATGAAGTAGTTCTTCATACGTCAAACAACATGTCATCAGTGGCGGATTTAGGTGGATGGTGAAGCAACAATCGTCATCGTCTTGCAAAATTTCTTTGTGATTTTCTTCAGCAGAAATCAAAAATATCGAACTTATAGTAGCTGGAATGGGCTTCAAAAATCGTGTTTGACTATAAATGTCATCTGCTCACTAGCATCCTGGATCCAGGACTGCGTATGATAACAGTTCTCGCTTTGTTTTCGATGTTCTTGAATGCATGACTTACTAGACTATTTAGATATCCTTTAAATCTTTTTTTTCGAAAACCAAAAATGCGTATTGACAATTCACATCCTCGTTTCTTATCTCTGTTTGGTATAGGATCATGTATAACATGAAGAAATTCCTTTTCATTTCAGAGAAAGTATATGATCTATGAGTAATCATTATTTGCGTGGCATTCTTTTGAAACTTCAAGATCGTCTCAGTGACGATGATCGAAAACGTTTGCATTTCTTTTTCGGCCACGATGTACCACGACGAATCAGAGATGACCCATCACTTGGTGGTACTCTTAGTCTCATGGAATGTCTCTTCGATGAAGATAAAATTAATGAACAAGATTTCACATTTTTGATACAAGCATTCGAAGCAATTCAATGTATCGATGCCGCACAACTTTTGAGAGGTAACTTTGGATCTTTGATCAATGCCTTATTATTTGTTGTCGGTATAGAGCATATGAGACGAATAGAGCCCAATGAATTAAAACAATCCAAGCAAAGTTTAGCTGCAATAATGCCAATCACCAAAGAACTTTTTGACGATCAGGAAGATGATAAATATGCTTTTCAATACAGTGGGTGTAAAGTTTTTATTATTCAGAATTTGGTTGAGTTTCAAAATTCAATTTAGATTTTCTTCCTGAGAGAAACAGCTATGACAACAATAACAACGAGATAATCAACAGTAATGATACAAACATAAATTCAATGAATGTCATTGTAGATAATCCTACAGTTTTACCCTTACAATCGAAACAAAAACAACCATTCAGCAATTCATCGATGATATGGAAATATTTGTTTCTACTCGCTGTAATTGTGATCCTTATATTTACAATAGTAAATGGCATCTGTATACATATTGGATTAAAAAAAGTATCAAAATTGAACCAGCAGATTTTCATTGAACAAAGGAATTGTACTAATGAAACAATTCAACGATTGATCAATCGATTGAAACAAATACGACGAGAGAAAAGTAAGATAAACACTATATGGTTGTAAACTCTTACCTAAGAATCATGACCTACCTTGCACAATCCAAAATCTCAAATCTTTCTGAGCACTTTTTACTGTATCACATGCATCCTTTTAAAGTATACAACTGGGGTGTGAGTGTGGATGTTACTATTCAGATACACAATCATACTCACACTCCACACCCTTTTTCATTCATAGTAGCGATTCTTAATATTGCAGCTGATGCTCCATGTACCAAGGATTTCTAAATCCTCATTCTTGAGGTCCTGATGTGAAAATATTCAAGACATATTCAGTCACACTAGAATTATCAAGACTAGAACTACATAAGGATTATTGCAAGATCTTACTACGACATTATCATGAAGATTCTCTTCTATGATTTTAATACAATAGTTTGAAACTGATTTTCACGAAAACCTAATAATAACTTTGGAAAACATTTTCTGGTCATCACATTAAGATCCATCCTCGCTGAATGAGGCATACAACCTACTGATTCCTATATTTTTTTTAATAGAGAGCTCCCATAGGATTAGCTTTTCTCTTCTTAGCATATCAAAAGTAGATGGAGTCAGATATCAAAAAGTTGCATGCAGTCGTTGCAAGCTTACATAGTTTCGTATGTATACAAATCTTCGATAGGATTTTGCTAAGGTGTTATCAAGAAGGTTTTAGGAAGAGCTTGACATAATTTGATAAAAATCTAATAAAATCTTACCTGCATCCTATATCCCAATGTTTAGGAGACCCTTCTGCAGATTTGTATTCATCATCCAGAAAATCATCTGATCAGAAAATTTGCCGTATTACGGGAAACACATCGTGAAAAATGCACACTGATTACGACGTGAATTTGTTTGCCAAGGATTCTAAAATCTTAATACTTGAGATCTTCCTAACAAGATTATGATTGAGTTGTCTGAGAATTTTTTATTTTTCGAATCTAACAGAGTTCAGTATTTTGTTGCTTAAATTTCACTTCTTCAAGAATTTAAGCTTGTTCGTACCGTTTCTGATAATCATTAGTGAAATTTTGCATTCGAAACTATGAATAAAATCCTTCACTTCGCACGTTTTTCTATCAGAAGCTGGCGTCGGATTATTATTAGTTTCTCTCTGTATTTCAACAATGCTTATTTCTGGAAAACCTTTTTCCAACAATCGGAAGGTGCAAGTTTTATTCCATTTCGAAGATCCTACCTTTCTTTTAGGATCTAAAAGGTTTTAAAAAAAAATAAACAAGCCACTATTAATACGGAGTTTCATAAGAATGGTTACGATGCTCTTTTTTCCATAGGAAGCTAAGAAAAGGTTTCGCAATTTTGAAAGAGAAAGAATATCTTATTCGTAGGCAACGACGATGCTGATCCCTTTTCTTTTTCCTTCTTTGTAGTGATCCAAAATATCATAGTCAACGCTCGATGGGCACAGAATGGAGTGACGGTTGCTGGAGACAATAGACGAGGCAATGCCACTAATCAGCTCAACCGACCTTTTGGTTTCTTCGTTGATGATGATCAAACGGCTTTCATCGCTGACTTTGAAAATCATCGCATCATCAAATGGAAGATAGGTGATACTAATGGAACAGTGATACTTGGTGGTCTTGACCGAGGAAATCGATGGGATCAATTGGATCGACCAACTGATGTGTTAAGCGACATAGAGCCAGATAGTTTGATTATTTGTGATAGATGGAATCGACGAGTCGTACGATGGTCTCGTCGTTGTGGTACAATTCAAAGAGAACTCCTCGTCGACAACACTGAATGTTGGGGATTGGCCATGGATGATCAAGGATATCTCTATATTTCTGACACCGACAAACATGAAGTAAGACGATATCAAATAGGAGACAAGAATGGAACTATCGTAGCTGGTGGGCATGGTGAAGGAGCTGGTCTCAATCAACTTAATCGTCCGACTTTCATCTTCATCGATCAACAACAGGTTGTCTACGTGTCGGACTACGAAAATCATCGTGTTATGAAATGGAATAAAAATAAGACAGAAGGCATTATCGTCGCTGGAGGTCAAGGCGGAGGAAATGCTTTGACACAATTGTCATATCCATACGGGCTCTTCGTCGATAAATCTGGTACCCTCTATGTGGCGGATACGGGAAACCATCGTGTGATGCGTTGGTCTAAAGGAGCGAAACAGGGCACCATCCTTGTGGGCGAAAATGGTTCAGGAGCAGGTGCTAATCAATTGTTGTCCCCCACAGGTTTGTCCTTCGATCGACATGGCAATCTCTACGTCACCGATCAAGAAAATCATCGTGTTCAACGATTCTCTATCAAATAGACTCATCATGATAGCAAGTTTTTGTTTTTGCGTTCCTTTTTTCAAATAGGGTGTGGGTATAGATCTTCTCTTCAACGACACCCACATCTATACCCACTCTCAGCAGTGTTATTTTATGATCATGATTTATGAATAGAGAGCGCAGCATCTTCCCGAAGTAACACCATAATCCTCACTTGAGTTATAATTCAAGATTAAGATAAAATTTATCTTTGGCTTTTTTAACTCTTCTAGCAAAAATGCTTTGATTCGATTTAAATAATTCGACTTGAGAGAATGCTTATCTTTATTTTCATTGTACGAAGTTTTTTACTTTGGCTTTGCCTAGCTTATAATTGCATATTGAAGTTGTGACAATGAATACAATTAAAGATAATTTTGTAATACTAAAATCTTTCTAAGAAGGCTATTCAATATTTTTGACTATCTAACAATAAAAAACTGCAATATTTTTACTGCAGGTGAGAAAAGCCTTATAGTAGAGTTTTCATTGAAAACGTTGTAGTAGATGAATTGCAAATCTAGTTTAGAATGTAATAATATATGTGCAACAATATTAGAATAAAAAACATGATTTCTTTAAAAGTGTGGGGCGTCTGAGTGTTGTGGAAGAAATGGTTGACTTATATTCGCTTTTAATCGACAACATATAGTATTAGATTAGATGTAAATATTCGTTGACAAAAAAACGACGTCAGAGTTGACTGGATGATGCTTCTCAAAGAGAATGTTTTGAAGAATATGTCTTCTCATTTCTAATCATCGTATTTTTTTTTGTCTTTGTTGATTTGAAATTTAGCAATCAGATTTCATGAAAATATCGCATTGAAGAATTATTTCGATCTATCCATGTTTTTAGTAAAAACTCTCTCTACTGCAAAATGTGTGTAAGAACAAATACTTGCTCAGATAGATATTGATTAGAAAGTATTGAACCACTAGTAAGAACAGTTTGAAATGATTATTGACTTGAGAATTTTAGTACTCCAACTTGATATGACAATGCCTTTTTTGCTTTTAATTAAGGAGAACGAAAATAAAATAAAAGAAAAATGTACGTAAGATTTCACAAAAGTTTTGACTAGATAAACATTAGAGGACATTTGTTCGATCGAATCCTGACGCATTAGTCATATCGAAACATGATTTGCAGTTGATGATTTTTTTTCTAGTTGCAAAAATGCTTGACGCTAAGAAATAATCAAAAACAAATATATTCAATGGATGTGCAAATGATCATTTTCTTTTCTCATACCGATAATAATTCCAATGATGATAATCACAATAACAATAGCAATGATCCACATCTAAATACAACAAAAAGTAGATTGATCAACAAAGGAACAATCTATTTCATTCGAAGTCACTTGAATATTTTTCCACTTAGATATTCGTTCGATTCGTTTGGAATTTATGGCAAATGCTTGAGCTTGTGTCTCGAGTATACCTACTCAAAGTTATTTTTATCGAGTCCTTAAATAAAAAAATTTCGAACCGAACTCACTTGCTCTTCTTACTAGATCAGTAAGATTTTCATCACGTGATAATACCGTATGAATGTTCCGATGCATGATATTTGTTGCCTAAAATCGAACTATTTTCAGTAAGCGATCAAAGAGACAAAGCGAGATCCTAACATCTTGAACTTGTGTTAGTAGCTGAGTAACATGAGTATCAGATGTTACACTGGTTCTTCGCGATTGATTCTTTGAAGTTGTCAAATTCGTATCACCTGCTACAGTGTTGCTTCGCAGTCTATTATTTGTAGTTGTTGAATTCGATGGGCTATTGACCAATATGAGAAAAAACAAGTTCGATTATTGCTTTGCAAAAGGACATTTCTTACATGACAAACCGATTCAGGTACGCATTATTATCGATCATATCGAGCAAAATGAAGGATAACAAATCGTTGGATTTGCATTTTTTTTCTACTTCCAATGATGACTCATTCTAGTCACTCTCTCTTCAATAAAGTACTTATCTTTGTGATTACAAAGATCGTAAACATTTATATCGAGATTTGCAAAGCACAACAGTGTCTTGAGCTAGGTCAAAGATCACTAAAAACGTGTCTTTGTCAAGATTATCTTCGATACAACTTCGAAGAACAGATCGTCTCAGTTAGTCTTTCTTCAATGAATTGTTGGTAATGGTACATAACTAATTCATCATAGATTATTAAACGTTTTGATGAAACAATCGGATAGATTTGATGTAAAATGAGAAGTGTTGAAATAAGCTCGATGTCTATGTGAAACAGTTTCTTATCATCTAATAATGTTGATTGAGGAAGTCTGTATTTGGTAGTAGTCATTATTTCATTGTTCTGGTAAAAGTTTTATTAAAGATGAATAATGTTAACTTGTAATTAAATAGAATAAATGACAGAAAAAAATTTACATATAAGTGCTGTACTTGAACTGTTGACATATCGTTTTTACATTCATGATATCAAGTACAAGTCGGAAGAAGAAAAGAAAACGGCAGCGAAGATAGACATGTACAGCATAATGGACAACTGAGAATGTTTTTTTCTTTCGTTTTCTACTTTTAAAAAACAACTCAACTCATTTCATGGACACAGAATACAAGAAGCAAAATAGTTTCCTAAGTGTTGCTTGTAAAACTAGAAAAGTAAAAACTTAAGCCGTGTAAATAGATTTGCTACTAACATGGCAGATTAAAATCAATTTTGAAATTCGAAATCAATGGTTTTCAATTTGATTCAAATGTATCATTATGATTATTTATCTTTTGATTGCATTGTCATTAATGTTTGTATAATAAACAAGATGATCAACGTCTAGCTCAAAATCATGGTCGCGACTTTAACACACAGTCATCCGTTTATATTCGAAAATGTATTGATTTTTCAATAATAGAAGTATTGTGTCAATGATGCCACTGGATTTCAATTTCGAGATTTCTTTTTACAGGAGCAAAACGTATATGCAGATATTTGCAGTCTGGGAAAACAGGCCACATCAACTCTATAAAAGCCTCTCTTAATAATTTTCCTAACTATTTATCATTGAAAATCTATTTTCTACTTATTTCTTTCCAGCGCTCATATAATACAAGAGGAATGAATGCATACATAGAACTAGATATGCACATTCAAAAACAAAGTCGAAAAGTCGTCATCAACCACATGATGATCGTCTTCTACTTCTCAAAGTATACAGTATTAAAATATTTTCGCTCATTTTCTTCATTAACACATTCGACACGATGGGTCCTACCGGTGGAAGCCGCCATATTTTAACAAGAAAATGACTAGAAAAACACGTTCTTTTGGGTGTGAGTGTAGGTGTAGGTGTTTCTATAGTCACTCACTTCAAGATTATCCACACTCACACCCATACCCCCACACCCTATAGTACCTTTAAGGAAACAACAAACTATGGTCATAAAATAACAAAGAATCATTTCAGAAGAAATGATTAACTAGACAGATCATTATCCTGAATTCGACGTCAGAATATTGTAGTTATTTTCATATGAAAAATGAATATAAACGTTATAAGTATTTTTATTCGTTTTGAAATTTGAGGGATTCTTATATTTTTGTAAGATACATTTGATAGAAATACGATAAGAATCTGTGGTAGTAAAAATTAGCAGAACAAAATTAATCAGGTAGATAACTGATGCAGATATGTCTATGAGAATGGCTGTTGAATGCTGAGATTTGAAGTCTTCTTTGCATTATTATCTCGAATTTTACACAATTGAATCGTTTAACAAATTTTATTTTTACATAGTTTTGAATAAAAAAAAAAGGATGTTTTTCATTTTTGAAGCCAATTGTTGTTTTTAACGAAGAGGTCAAATCGGATTAAAAATTAAATCTGCTGTGTTTCGGCTACATATATGGATATATATCTAAATGTCATTTGTCGTAATACTTGATTATTTCAAAATTTAATCTTCTTTTCTTTATCGTTTCACCTGAATCATCCGATGTTTTGAAAGAGTTTTCGCTGTCATCGCTATTCATCTTCTGAAGTCAACGGAGACGAGAAGAAAAAATCAAAATGTTCAATAATGGAATGGATCCGATTGCTCATTCCTCTTGCTCTTCCATTGGTCCTTGGCGTCTTTACTGTCGTCACAACTATTCAAAATCGTCAAACAGCTCGACAAGAACGAGAATTTGACAACTATCAAGCTGAAGAAGCATAACGAGAAAATATTTTTATTACTTATATTAATGATATATCGCGTTATTGTGATGAAAATATTGACAATCTTTTCATTGACAAAGAAAAATTACTTTACATTCGTACAAAAACATTACACTACTCTACGAAACATTGATCAGGAACCGAAGAAACAGATTTTATTCTTTCTCTATGAAAGTTCATTGTTATTCGAGGAGGAGAATTGGCTCTTAACTGGTGCCGGCTTCAATCGAATTCGAATGGAAAATGAAGAATGTAAATTCAATCAGACCTATTTTTTTCAAGAAAAATCGTTCAAACAATGCTTCTTTCGTTATAGTACTTTTCGGGAGACGAGCTTTATTCAAGCTAATGTAGCTCGATCTGTTTTTCGTGTCTCAAAGTTTATGAGTTGTCAATTGGATGATGCTCATCTTCAACATACCATCATATCGGAAACAATATTCAATAGCTCATCATTGACTAATGTTGATTTTCATGGAGTTAAAATGGATTTAGTCTAATTCTATAATGTCAATCTAACAGGAGCCATTTTCAATAATCGTCAATATGAACAACAAATAATTCGAAACTCTTTATTACCTGATGGATCCTTTTCATCAATAGGTGAATTTCATCTTAACTTAAGTGGTTGTTCATCGTTGGGCGAATGGTTTATAGAACCAGTAGGACGTATCATTGTTGAAAATTGTTCGTGTGTCTAATAATTCCAATGCAACTATGAACTACTTAATTTATTCACCTGTAATAAGCTATTCGATGCTAGTTGATTCTTACCAAGCCGTGTTCGATCTCAAGCTTATTCGATGCAAAAATTTGTTATCTATTCCAACAGAAGTTCTTTTTATGGGCATGAATAATGGTGTCTATGAGATAAACCGAATTAGTAAGTGTCTCTTCAATCTATTAAAAACCATAATTTTCATTTATCAGAGTCAATCTGTTGGATAATTTATAATTTCACTCATGTTGCCATTTCAATTATTGTGCCGTTCAATACTGTTGGCACATGTTTTAATCAGATCGCCTATTTAGTAAAAAAAATATTAACAATGTGAATACTTTTGAAGAGGTAGTTTTTTTTGTAATGTTTCTGCAGTAGCTTGATCGATTATACAATGTTTTCAATAAATAGGCTATTAGTGAAAAACAGTGGAAAGTAAGAATACTCAAATATTTGTAAAAAAAGAAGTATGATATCAGGAAAAGCTTCTCAATACTTGACATTCGTTAATCCTCGTGGGCGTGAGTGTAAAAGGAATGTGGATGTCTGGGTGGATGATAGCAGAAGTGTATCGATATTCTCTCCCCGTATGGTGTATATTCTAATGAAATAGAGTCGCTGATGGTACAAGTGCAACACTTAAAAGTCCTATGAATTCGGCAACATTCTGTGAACAAAAATTTTACTCAACATCTGATTTGTAAGCTTTGCTCAATCAGAACTAAATTTAGTTGAAGTTTTAGAGAGATGATAAAAATAATATTCGTGTAAAGTATTTGAAAACAATTTATAAGAGAAACTAGAATAAAATGTCCTATAGAACCCTATCAAATTAGTCATTTCAACAACTTTTTAACATGAACAACACAAAACAAGCATAACGCTTTATTTTTTCGAAATCTTATCAAGATGTTTCCTTCTCTACAATGCTTACACTCTCAAGAATCAGTGCAACAAGCAAATGTCCTATTGCGATGTGGGGTGTGGGTTATTCTCCTTCAATCATCAATATCCACACCCACTCACATCTACGTCCACCCACGCACTCATACTGCACCCACACCCTACACCTTCACACACCCACACTCACACCGAATACCCTCACATCCACTACCCGAAATATCTGGTTTTGTATAAGATAGTGCGCTTCTAAATCTTCCATAGTACGCGTCTAACTTTAGAAACAACATTTCGAGAATATATCAAAAAAAACTCTGGCAAATGTTAGTTTCAAGTCTTTCAATCCTAAGTAAGAGCATGATAGATGCTAGAAGTGTAGAACATAGGTTTTTTATTTCCTAAAAGAATATATACTAGATCGTTATTTTCCGATTGAAGACTTGCTAGTTTTATCAATTTTTCATCGATAAGAATAAAATCAAATAAAAGGCTTCCATTCCTCTTTATGATTATCGGTTACATATGAAAATCATGCCCATTTTTCATATATAAAGTTCAGCATTTAAAAATCATGATCAATCATTGCAAATTTATACATTTTCATTTGTAGATCACCTTTAAATATGCATATAATGAATTTATATGAAATCTTATCATTGTAACCTAATGAAATCTATCTTAAAGCTCCGAGTAGCATTAAACAAAAATAAAATTGGTTTCTTTTCAGCAGTTTTGTTTCTGTCAGTTAATTTTTTAAACCTTTCGCTAAACCCTCAAAGATCAATCTTAGGCCAGATATACTCAAATCGCATAAAATTTCCAGGATATATGTGGGGGCTATAGTGAATCTAAACATACTTAAATCACGGCCCAAAACTCTGAAAAAAGTAGAGTCATGGTGCTCTGTATATTAGATTTTTCATTAAAATAAAATAACGAAAAAAACTCGGGTTTTTTCCAACTTCAACTTATTTGGCTTTTTCCACCTTGTCGTTCTGACGTCATACATATCTCGAGGCATGTGTTCTTTTTCTTTCTCATTCTTACTTCCGTTTCGTCGTATTGAAGTAAGTAACTCAAACACTTCGTTATTCAATCGCAGAAGGGAACTAAATTGTATAGAACTATTCAATGGCTTCATTTGAACTTATTGTGATCATTTTTGGTTCCAGCAAAAGTATTTCAACTGTTAATTTACGATTACCAATTTCTTTCACACTTGCTATTGATGAAACATCACTTATAAGTTCGATTACTGTCGATTCGCAAACTTTCGATACATGTTTACATCGATATTTTGTTGTTCTTCTTGACACAATTTCTGATGAACTTTTCGATCGTCTTCAAATCAATCATCAGGTTCAAGCAATTTACAGTCAAAACAATTTTGTCAACGCCACTGAACGACATAAATTACGTCGTTTTATAAATAAACAATGGCAACAACTTTCATTAGATTTAACATCAGATATTGTATATTTTCTCACAGTTGAAGGTGAAAAACAAGCAAAATTGGAACAAATACCGTTGGCACAAGTTTATTATCGTCAAGCACGACTATTGAAAGAATGGGCCATGTCGTTTGTCAAAGTATAACATATCTAATTAGCTTATTTTTGTTTTAAATCTCTTCTATTTTTTTTTCAGGCTGAACCATGTCATATTCTGCTTATTCCACTGAATAGTAGTCAAGAAAATTTGGACAACACCTATGAAAAATTACAAACAGTCTGTAAGTATAAAAAAGAAAAATATAGACTATGGGAAGTGATGACGTAATATTGTGTTGTTCTATTCAGTACGAACGTTTCTACTTCTTGTTTTGTGCTATAAATAAATTACAGAGTCGCAAAACGTCCCGTCACCTGGTAAAAAGTATATAAAATATAATCCTTTTGTCCAATATTTTGATTACAAATAGAGCACGATAAACTTTGATCGCAAATAGCAATCCGAGATCAATAGGATTTACTACAAAGATTGATGAAAAAATCAATGCTTGTTTCCTAAGGTGGCAAAAAGGCTTTATTGATAGTTTTCTGATTTTCCACTATTTAAATGCGTTTATTTCCATTTTCTTATTAACAAATAAAGATTGGTATGTCTATATTGTGTCACGGATAGAGTACTACACAATCTGCTGAAATCTTGAGAAGCATGAAAGCTTCCATTGTCTGAAATAGTCTCGACATGAATCTCTTCTACATTGATTGCCGACACTTTTCATAGAATATTTATTGGTGATAAAAGCAGCCCTGAATTGTGAAATGATATATCTAACATCTTGAGATTTATTTTCTTTGTTGAAATATCTTCGTCTGAAGAAAAAACTTATATGTTATGTTCTCTGGAAATAGATCGTAACTGTTACATTTGGTAAATTATTTATTTACGGATAGTATCTTAAATTTTCGCTGAGTGGTCTACTATAGTATGAGATGTTGATTTTACTTTTCACCTTTTCTCCTCTCTGTATTATTCACGGTAAACTGAAGTAATAAAATAGCTCAATAAATATCATTGTCAAGAGTGATGACAATTTTACTTTTCTAGTGCAATGCATAGAGTTATATTAATCTTAACTGAAATATTATCAAATATAATAAATTATTTATTCAGAATTAGAATTCTTTGGCATCTGTACTTATAGGTACTAAACTCGGTTATCCATCAGTTATCATTCGAACATTGGACAAATATATTCCTATCGATGATGCAGAAAAACTACAGTTAATGCCCTATGCTTCACATTTATTTAATAATGAACATCCACATTATATCTGTGAATTAATTAAAAGATTATCATCAATAAGATTCTATTTATATGGTAATGATTATTATATTTCAAGTGAATGGAGTAATTTGATGATTACTCGAGAAATTCATGTCATGGAAGATGAAGATAATTGGTGTTCATTTCTTGAAAATGAACTTATTGATGATGAAATAAAATGGAATTTTAAACCAATGTTTGCAGAAAAATGGAAAGTAAAACATATAGCACCAATTAATATAAGTAATTTAGATAAAAATCTTCGATTTCAATCAGCACTTCGACGAGCTTTTAAAACATTTAATCAACGTCAAATTGAAGTTACAACAACAATTTTTGAATGGTACGATCAATGTATTCGAAATGATTATCTTCAATTAGAAGTAAAAATTAATTTTTTTTTTCTTAATAAAAATTAATTTTTTATTTCATATAGCCTAAATTGACTAGTCAAGAAGAAGAAAAACTCACAAAAACAAAAATCGAAACAAACATCACAGTAGATCAACATACGGTTCAAAATTTATCTATCACTCGAGTTCATCCAGCATTGAGAAAGAAAGTAGTTTCATTTATTTGGCTTGATGAATTTCTTAATTTTTCTCAAGAATATCTTAATCGAATAATAAAACCATCGACATGGTACTTTTTTGATGATATATCAACTTGTATACAATACATTGAAGATCAATTACAAGAAGAAAAACAAATATTTCTTGTTGTTTCGGATATACTTGGTCAAAACATATTTCTTAAATACTTTGATCTATTGTCATTAATTCCATTCGTATATATCTATTGTTCTGGACTTAGTCTAAATATTGATTGGATAAAAAATTATTCTCAAATTCAAGGAATTTATAACGATTCCATAAAACTTGCTGAACAAATACAACAAAATTTACATCAAAGTTCTCAATCTTTATCTATCAATAATAATAATCTGTACCTTAACTCGACTACAAATCAGGTAAAAAAATTCAAAATTTTAATACTTAGCATTACTAAAGACTTCATAACAAACTACTGTATCTTATGTAACAAAGAATTTCAAATTAATATAATTACTCTCTCGATGTGGGTGTCAGGGAAAATTATAGACGATTGAGGGTAAAAACCTAAAACTTGAAGGGTAATTATTTTTCTCAATTGAACTTGAATTTTCAAAGAATAGATTAATACTTAAGAATTTTATTGTACATTGATTATTTAGCTTGATTTACAAACATATAATATGTCATCAACAACTTCATTATCATGGATTCTCTATAATCAAGAACAAACTCATCTATTCTTAGCTCAACAACGTACAATTGATAATCTTCTTTCTATGCCACATACAATTGAATCACGTGATGAAATGCTTGTCGAATGTCATCGATTCTATCAGGATAATACATCAGCTCTAGCTGAAATTAATACATTCGATAAAAGTTATAACTCAAATATTGCTCTTCAATGGTATTCACGTAGTGGATTTCTTTATCGAAGAATTAATGAAGTACTTCGATCAAGCAATACCGATGCAATGTATAAAATAAGATATTTTCTTAAAGATCTCTATGTACAACTCAATGAATTATACACACAAGAAAGCTTGTGTAATTCATATAATCAACAAGATGCAACAATGGTTTATCGTGGTCAGCATATGTCTAAAACAGAATTTGGATATTTTCAAAAAATTCAAGGTAATATTATATCTATCAAAACATTTTTATCAACAACTAAATCATTACAAATTGCAATTGATTTTGCAAATGCACCTGTAGATCACAATGATATGATTCAAGTACTATTCTATATCAAAATACATTGGTTCTGTGAATATATTCGACCTGTTGCTAATATTTCTAAATTTTCGGTTTTTCCAGATGAAGAAGAAGTTTTATTTGCTATGGGTAGTATATTTCGTGTTCAAAATGTTGATATGTTAAACGCAATAGATAACATTCCTGTTATATATTTAACATTAATAGATCGAAAAGAATTGATGAACAATAATTATTAAACAATAATCATTTGAAATAATTTAATCAATAAACTTTTAAAAAGAAAAACAGTTCTTTTTTTCGAGAATTTCTTTTATTATCAATAAATTAAAAAAAATTATTTTGTTTCTATACAAGTATTTCTCACGTTTCAAACGAAATCTAAATTTATTGCGAGTTTAATCTTTACATTGCACTTTAGAAGTGTTTAAAAATTATTGAACGATTCATTGTGATAGAATTTTGTACTTATTCTTTCATCAATAATACTCTTTCACTACTCGAAACCATATTATTTTATACAAGGATGAAATACAGTAATAGATAAAACATGTGCTGTTACGAATGTTTAACTGTAAAATCAATAAAAATATTAAAAAAATTTGATCGTGAGACGCGTCTGCACTCTCTTGCACGTAAAAGAATAAATAAAAAGAGAAAAAAGAAAAGTACATTGTATATAATTTCATAGCTGTCATTAACACGTCATACTATAAATCCTACATACTCAAAGCAATAAAAAAGAACCATATTCTTCACAAATGATAAACATTTCTCACAATCTTAATTATCCATTATGAGATGTAGAAAATGTATATACTTTTTTCATGATTTAAAAAATATTATACAACTGATAGTTTATGTGTAACTATTGAAAGTGCAAATCATATCTGGTGTACATATGAAAATGATAAATGTATTGATTAATTATTGATATTGGTTCTTATAGTAGATTGTACGTTATTTTATTTGGTGTTAGTAAATCAGAACAAAGACGTGAAATTGAAACATGCTTATTAAAAAATATATTATTGAGTAGTCTCGTGAACATGGACATACATCTATTTATCTTCATACAACATATTCTAATGAAGATACCATTAGATTAAATGTGAAAGCTGATTTTCAAAAAGAATTTCATCAACCCGAGTATACTGAAGAATTACTACAGTATCGATCTGATGTACTTCCAATGATATTATTCATATAAAAAATAGTGCATCAACTTTGTCTAGTAGTGATGTTTGATTTTGGTTTCAAAAGCCGGCTCTTGTTCTGGAAAGGGTGGTGAAAAGTACTATTACTCAGCGTCGTAAGGTATCCCTTTTCACGCCAATATTCCTAATGTTCCCAGACCAATTGATCGAGATCAGGAGTCTTACAAAAATCTTTATAACTCTTGTACGAATCGCGATATGGATATCGTAGTTGCATAAATTGAATAAAAAACTACAGATCCTCATCTTCTTCTTCCCGGAGAAAACTACTACAATCATTATATTATTGAACAGAGAGTAACGTTTTTCTATAGAATATTATCCAATACATAAATCAGTTCAATTTAGTTTACATCAGTTTTTTATTTTGTTTGGGAAAAATATTGTACTGTTAGATGTTCAAAGAAAAAATTATTTTATTTGTAAATTTAATTTATATGTTCCAATATTAAGACATTACGTCTTTCTTTCCAGACAAATTAGGTATGATTTCTTTACATAAAGCTTTGAATAAAACAATAGATAAGTCGTTTATATAGGATTTTGTTTTGGTTGCCAATTGTTATGATAATCTCAGATATTGTTGGTAGTGTTAGTATTGTTGATTGCGAGTGTGCCTGCAAATATAATGAAAAACAATTATTAATAAGATTGAATGTTATAATTAAAACGATTGTTCTAGTTCTGTTGATGAATATTCTCAATGTAAGACTTTAGAGGAAAGTAAAAACTTACATATGTAAAAAAGTTAGAAAATTTCTCAATGATTTAGTTATACATTCTAATTTTTAGGTTTTCTCCTTTAAGAACATAAAAAAGTAATTTATATTGATGAAACTTAGATTACAAACCATTTTCTGTCGACGTATCTTCCGCTGTCGCTACTGATATAGCCATTGTTGTTGTAATATCTATAGAGTTGGTAAATTAATTTTAATTATATATCAAATTTCTTTGATATATCACACATAATACAGATAACATACCTTCATTTATTGTCAAAGTTTTATCTGTTGTTGATTCATGTATCGTTTGCATTATCGTTGTGGTTGTTATTGCCATATCTAATGAGTTTATAAAATCGAAAAGATTTTCATTGATTGAATTATGTTTTCAAATTGATTACATACCTTCTTTTGTTGAAGAAATTCCATCGGTTGTTGATACATATGCTGTTGTTGTTGTGGTGGTTATTATTGCCATATCTAATGAGTT